CCTTGAATCAACTCCATTCCACGTCCCTTGACCTCTTTTCTGGCCTTCGAAGCCGACCTTGCCAACTCGGAGTCTCGCAGCTTGGTTATCGCCTTGTACTTCGCATCAAGTTCGGCAAGTTGGTTATGCAAGGTGTAGGCGGTCGATTCGGATTCACAGAGTCTACCTTGAACGCCGGTAAATTCATCCTAAAGTTGATTATTCCGGTCATACTGGTCTTGCAACTCGCCTTTCACTTTTGCGAGTTCGGATGTGAGATTGTCGACTCAGTCTTCCAGTTCTTGCCTAGAGCTGGAAGAGGAGTGAAGGTCGGCCTCAAGAGCAGAAATTTTTTTCTTCCACGTGTCAATCTCCTTTTCCCGACCAATGACCAGCCCCTCGTAGTGTTCAATCATGTCATTAAGCTCGCCGTTAGCCTGGCATTATGCATAAAACAGGGATGGCGAGTCAGTTCGAAGAATGGCAGCACAATCAGAAAAATAAAGCGGAACTAACCCGAGATGAATGATGAGCGTGAAGCAAGTAGCGTTCACGAATCGCAGGGCGCCACTTGTCGAAATCTGGCAAGATCGCACCCGATCGGGTCTTGAAGCATCGGAAAACGTTGCCTTCTTTCTCCATAGCTGTGAAGGAAGAAGAGTTGTAAAAATTGGAATCTGAGCAGAGATAAAAACTTTTGAATATAAGTCACCAAACCTGAAAGCGATTTGACTTGGGGGACAAGAGCAGGCTTTAACTTCGAAGAAGCATCTCGAGACTCAGAATCTCCCTTTTTAGGAGATGCGTTCTGGGCAGTCTTCTCGCCATCAGGCTGGGAAGAGGAAGACATATCAACAGGTCGAGGAGGACCCATTGGTTCAGTAGGAGGGGACGATCGAGGTGAACGGTCAGTCCGGGCCCTTGACTTCTCCCTTCGCGGAGAAGAATCACTACGAGATGACTTGTCTCTCTTCCTGCGAACCAAGTTCTTAAGTGGTTCATTGCTAAAATCATCTCGGAGAGGACGAGGAGAATCACGACGAGGAGATCGGTCCCTCCGAGGAGAACGTTCGTCATGACGTTCGCGACGAGGTGTTGATCTGAAAGCAGCAACGGATCTGGCCCCCTCGGTGATGTTGTCATCAACCAGCAGGGTCCTGCTATAGTCTTTTTTATCAATGGCGGCCGCAAGGAACGCCTTGTTCTCATCGCAAGCCTCTGCTATCGGCTTGGAGAGCTTCTTACGCTGGGCAGTAAGGGCCCGAGATGACATTCCCTGAGTTGAGGGAGGAGGCGGAAGACGATGAAGTTGATTGGGGGGACTCATCCTGAGTTTTCGATTGGCTTCTACGAACCGATCGAGGGTGAAAGAATTCCAAAGGGTTTCCCCTTCAAGGATTGTTTTGAAGAACTTGACGAATTCTTCAGTCGGAAGAGTCGAAGCGATAAAAGCTGCGAAGTGAAACAACGAGTTTGGTCAGTAAAAATAAAACAACCAGGAAAGGAATAAATGACCTAGTTTCTACCAGGCTTCGCAGACCACTTCGATGGGAGTACATCGGAAAGATTTCCAATCGAAGTAGGGGTTTTCTTAATCACGAACCAAGGATGGTGCCAGTTTTCATCCTTGTTCGGGAGGTGCGAGATGACGTTCCTGTTGGCATTTGGATACGCCGAGAAGTACCCTGTTTTCTTTGACGAACTTCTTACGCTTAGAAGTTCGTTCAGCTCGGGGACCCCAATAATGTAGTCCGCTTCCGCCGCAACGGTTATGATCCCGAGGATGGTTCGGAGGAGATTGGGGGTTAGCTGAGGTAAAGCAATCTCAAGAGCCGCCAGGTATCGAACTAGGGCTTCGGGAAGGGGGAAGGTCAATCTGCAGCCTTTGAAGTAGATTTCATAAACACAAAAGTAGCCGTCGCGGTGGTTTTCCGGGGACTCCGTAGGGTCGGCTATCTGCGCTTCTGCTATGATTCCAGGGGGAATCTGGCAAAGCCCCTTTAATGGCTCTAGGGATTGAAGGGTACAGGTGGATCTGTAGTGCGGACCAGCGATGTCGTTAGGACGAGTGCATTCGTCATTACTAGAGCCTCCTTCAAAGGATGGAGATTCGGGTCTTTCGGAATCAGAAGTCATCGGAGAAGTTGAGAAATTTAAAATCCGGCAAAGAGAAAATCGGCGAAGAAAGAGAAGAGAGAAGTTTTGATTAAAGCGTAAGAGTAAAAAAATGATGATGAAAGAAGTTACCTCACGAAAGCTAAGTGATAATGGTGAAACCGCCTTGGGAATCGTGGGGGAAGTGGAAAGGTTTCCCGCTTTAATAGTAAATAATTGAGATATGGTCATGATGGTGACAGATGTCACGCGACTAAACATGGATAGCGCCGAAATTAAAGGACTGACGGGATCTTGGCGGGAAAATCAGAAGATTCCTCGGAACGCAATCTTTGGTCATTAAAGCGTTTAAAGTCCTCCGAATTGGAATGGCACTTCGAAGAACTTGGGGGGCTAATTGTTGGTGTCGGATCCCGCACCAGAGGTCCGGGACCAACCAAAGATTGCCACATAATCAGGATAACGGCCCATGAGGGATAAAGCCCATTAGACCCGCAAGCCGAAGGAACAGTCGAAGTGGTTATCACCACAAGGAGAATCCGAAGTGACTGCACCTCGACACGAGTCCGGAGACGAAGTCGCAGTTAAGTCGGTCCAAGGACATATGGGCCAAAAGGCGAGGCCCAAGAAGATCGAAATCAACTCAAATTCGAACGTTAAGCATTAATATCAAAGATCAAAACGGACACATTTAAGAGAGAATAATTGTACTTAATTAGCCATTTAAATGTAGTCTTTCTATGTATAAATAAAAAGGCCAATGGCCATGTAAAAGGGAATGATTCCTCTCGATTAAGAAATACTATAGCGATTTTTGTAGCAATTCATAAGCTTTTTACATATTCATTTTTGTCCCTCAATAATAATCTTTCCTACTTAATAAAAATACTTGAGTGTGCGAATCCGACTTCCACATCTTCCATATAAATAAATATTAGATGGCAGAAAAAAAAAAGTTTGTATATATATCTATGTTCGGAATGAGTTTTAATTTATTACAGACGGTTAAATTTATTATTTGAAAAAATGTTGTAAGCTTTTGAGTAATAGTAGAGGACATATGGTAGACGAAACTATCCATAAAGAGGTGTTCATATACTAGCATTCCCTTAAGAAAATGTGTTTGTTTCGAGCTGGATTGAAGCAGTTTAAACGTGACGAGGTCACTTGTCGTATTCTAATTTATAAGTAAAAATTACTTTCCAATAATAATTTAATGCTGGAGATTTTTTTCGATATTTGGTATAGTCCAGTTGGTCAAATATTTGTCCTAATATGTAATCTTTCTTAGTAAATTTTACTTTTACCATTTAAACAACTTTTCCAAATAAGATTATTCATGTATAGAAAATACATTGAACAATAAACTATTACCGAATCTATGTTGACTATATATTATCTTATCCCGAAAGATATACCACAACAGGATCATAAAAGCTTTTGTTTGCGAACTATTTGAAAAGGTATGTGATTTTTTTTGTCCACGAGTAGATGATAATGTATGAATGTGATTTTCTCACTACTATCACCGTCGTTTCACCAATAAATTTTAATTTTCATATGAATGCGACTTTGATTTTCAGTTTTGCACTACTGTCGTCGTCGCTTCACCACAAATTTCTAATTTTCAAGTGAATATGATTGGGGTTTCCAGTTTCGTTGTCGTTTCACTATAAATTTTTAATTTTCAACAAACGTGATTGTGATTTTCAGTTTTGTACTAGTGTCGCCGTCGTTTTACCAAAAAACTAGCTGCGGACCCACAATACACTGTATATTCTTAGTTTTCAGCGAGCGTGATTGTGAATTTTAGTTTTCCATTAGTGTTGCCGTCGTTTTACCATAAAATTTAATTTTCAAGTGAACGCTTGTTGTGATGAAAACGATAAAATAATACTATATGCTTACTTTTTTATACATGGGTAGATGATAATATATGATTGTGATTTTCAGTTTGCATTAGCTAGTGTCGCCGTCGTTTCACCTTAAACAATTTATTTTTCAGGCGAACACCTATTAATGAAAAAGATTTAAATAATTTTATATGAGCATTTAAACCCAAATCATTTGGGGATTATGTTTTTTTCTTTTTGGAAAAGCTTGTTGGAATTGATTTTGACCTTACCTATTTTTATAGACTAACTGTCACCAATTATCTATATACTTCCTCCGTTCCAAGCTATATGTAGTTTAAAGTTTTTTGTACATAGATTAAGAAAACACATAAATTTTCTATTTTGTCATTTTATTAATATATTTTATGTTTTTTTTTCTCATTGGTCATGACTGTAAAATATTAGGGGTAAAACTGACAATTTAACCAAATATGTGCATTGAAATCCTAAAAATACATTTTTTATGAAACAAAATTTAAATGCTAAACCTAGGTTAAAGAGGGGGAGTATGTTGCTTCCGATATTGATTGCAGTGAAACAATCATAATTTTAATAATCATTTATACTATATTCATAATGTTGTCTTCTTTTCTTTTTTTTTTTCTTGGTTCTGTTCCGGAAACAAACACCAACAGATTCTCCTCGATGTTGACGCACAACACAATGATGGCTATTTACATTGGGACTCCAATTGCGACCATAGCGATTCTAATTGCTCTTTTCTGGATTTCCAGAATACTGTGTGGCAAAAACTCCAACCCCAGTTCAACCGGTAAGTCTAATCTTGAAATTATAACCACACTTTAGTGTTTACATTTGATGTAATAAAAAAAGACAAAAATTCTATTTTTTAAGTCTTTTAAATGTGTCCTTTTCAATATATCCAGAAAAAAATACAAAGAAAGATTATGTAATTAAGTTTTATTGGGTTTGTTCTTTAATGTAACATATTAGTTAATGTGCAAGTGTTACATATAGAAGTAACTACACCTTTTGATGCTGATCGTGTAAGTAATACATCTTTTGATGCTCCTGTAATTCACGTCTACAAGGGACGCCACCTCGCCTGATTGAGTTCTCGATGGAGGAATTAAGGCAAGCAACGAACAATTTTGACATGGCTAATACTATTGGGCTTGGAAGTTACGGAGTAGTTTATACTGGGCTGATCGGAGACAAGATCGTTGTGATCAAAAGGGAGTGGTGTGGTCTCCAACCTAGATTCTTGGCTGAGGTATACACAGAAAATTTTGTTGATTTCATTGGAAATAATTTATGTATTTGTGACATATTGTGGTATGTGTCTCAGGTTTCTTACATGTCTAAAATCCAACATAGAAATTTGGTTAATCTGCTCGGTTATTGTTGCGACGACGAGAACCAATTGCTCGTCTTTGAGTATATGGTCAACGGTAGCGTGCGAGATTATCTAGATGGTAAGTAATGCATGCACTATATAGTGAACTTCTGAAGTTTGGTGCATAGATCATTTTTTGAGATCATCTCTCTTGTTCATTGAGTAGCCTCTAGGGACTTAACATTCAAGAAAAGGATTTCCATAGCTCTTGATGCAGCCAAAGGTAAATCAAAATGGATGATCCAAAACTCACATTAATTGTTTTTAGGGTCTTTCTAAGAAATAATATTAATGTTTCTCTGTTTTTCAATTCAGGGTTGCTACACTTGCACAACTTAGATCCTCCGGTACAACACAAGAGATTTACGACGTCTAAAGTTTTGCTTGATGCCGACCTCAATGCCAAGGTATCAGATCCAGGAATGTTGGGACTGCTTGAAGCACGTGATCTTCGTCTAGTTAATCCAAGGTATTAAATCACTTATGATAAGTTACATCATTCCTTCTAAGTCCTAACAAATATGTTCTTATGAATATTTGATTTTTTTATCTTTTTTATAGAGGTGGTTTAGCGGAGACCATTGATGTTTTTAGCTTCGGGTTGTTCCTTCTAGAGCTTATCACCGGTGAAAAACCTGATGTGTTTGAATCAAACGAAGAAATTGTTCAATGGGTAATAGAAAAAACCCTCTCTATCTCCATAGAAAGCTTGCAACACTTTTTTTTTGTGTACTTCAAAAAATATTTTTTGGAAATGTATTTGTGATTTGTAGATACTTCCGAGAATGTTCACTAGATCATCGTTCAAGCCTTATATGAAGATTACGTTGGAATGCTTGAATTATCCCGCAATAGATCGCCCAAAGATGGATGTGGTTGTGACCGAGCTTGAGACGATTTACCAGAATGAAGTCTTCAGTGAAGACCGTGGGGTTGCTCTAGGAAGTGAGCTTTTTAACATTACCATTGAGTAAGAGTGAGACATGATGTTGTTGTTTCAGTCTATTTCGAAATCCTATAAAAGGCTATAATAAAAGATTTCGAAGATTTCAAACAAAATCCAATTTGGGTCTTGTAGACTCGCAGTGAATGAGACTAAAACCGGTTTAGCCAATACAAACCACTATTAAACCGTACCTGATTAGAACCGGGTGGTCTAAATTTGGTTGAAATAACCGGATTAAACCTAGCGATCCTAATGATGATAGGATAAATCGAACTAAGGGTGAAATGAATCAGGTTTTGTGTTTCTATGTAATTTGAAACGCAATGCAATGGTTATGTTTTGCGGGCTTCAACGGATTATCTGTTTTGTATGGTTATGAACAGGTGAGGGATGTTATGATATAGAACATTGACAAAGTTCTTGATAGAGGCGAACGTAATTTGGGTGTGTCGATATTGAAACTTTGAAAGTATTACAATCTATAGATTAAATCCGAGTGGAAAGCCAAAATATGAACAATTCTACCATGGACCAACTAATATTGTTGGTGATCATATACATTGTTTTGACCTTGTTTGCCATGGACCAACTCTACTGTCCTGCGTCTATGTGAGTGAATCTGTCATATGCAATTTCGCTTCTTTGCCGGGATTCTTTATATGTATTCGTGCAACTAAGAGATCTTTTGTTTCTGTTTGCTGTATGAATATGACTGGGCTAATTTTTATTTATATAATGCATACATGGAAGTGACAATTCACTGCTTTCACAATTCTTTGAAGTCTTGTTATGAGCACGTATGTTTGACATTGAACGTTCGCATGTATATTTGAACGTTCCCAATAATATTGTTTCCATCTCACACTCGATCAATTATTCTAAAAGATTGATACCAATAAAAAATTAAGCAAATTTTTTTTTTTTTGGTTTTAAAACATACTCACAACGTCCGTCCATCTGCTTTCTAGAATTCTAGCCATCTCCACCCGTCAAAACAGCAAAATTTTGCACAAACAATATAATCTAAACTCCAAAGATATCTTTATCCCTTAACCCAAAATAGTAAAATTTAAATTTTAAAATGATGTATTTAAGCTAGTAATCATGATTAGCCTATTTATTTTAGTTTATATCTTTTCCCGAAGATAAAATCTCATTTAACCCTTATAAAACATTTGTGAGTTTTTTTTTTTGGTGAGTACGACACATTTGTGAGTTAAAAATGAAAAAATGTATTTTAAATTTAAATCATTTATATTAATGTTCAAAACCCTTAAAAAACTTAACCCGGCCCTAAACCCTAGATAAAATAGCAGTTCTTTCGGATGTAATAACAAAAACCGCCACAGAAATGATGAAGCAGAACTCGTCGGAGGCAATGTTGTCTTCATCAGCCGTGGACAAATCTCATTCCTCCATTTCATCGGAGAAGCCTCTCTCCTCATCTAGAGATAGAAGTGGAAGAGCCCAAGAGATCATGGCCGTGGATCGGCCAGGAGAGTACACAGCCAAATGTCGATGGACGGTCGAGAGCTTCCCATGTCGTCTCAAATCTAAGGCACTGTGGAGCAAGTACTTCGATGTAGGAGGCTATGATTGTCGTATCTTGGTTTACCCTAGAGGTGACTCACAAGCCCTTCGTGGCTACATCAGCATCTACCTTCAGATCATTGACCCTCGAGGAACCACTTCATCTCTATGGGACTGTTTCTCTAGCTACCGACTCTCTATCGTCAACCATGTCGATGATTCATTCACAATCCATAAGGAGTCTTGGCATAGATTCTCTAGTAAGAAGAGATCTCATGGATGGTGTGATTTCACTTTAAACTCTAGTATTTTGGATCCTAAGATTGGTTTTTTGTTTAACAATGATTTCTTGCTTATCACGGCTGATATCTTGATTCTTAATGAGTCCGTGAGCTTTAGTATTGGTAATAACAATGAGTTAAATTCCATAGCTGGACCAATGCCTGATGTGTTGAGTGGGAATTTCACTTGGAGGGTAAATAATTTTAGCTTGTTTAAGGAAATGATGAAGTCACAGAAGATAACAAGCCCTGTTTTTCCAGCTGGGGAGAGTTATTTGAGGATCTGTGCTTACCAGAGTGTGGTTAATGAGCAAGAGTACCTATCCATGTGTTTGGACAGTAGTGATACCGAAAAGACTGTTTTATCGGACAAGAGCAGTTGGTGTTTGTTTAGCATGTCAGCTTTGAATCAGAAGCCTGGGTGCACTCACATGAATAGAGAGTCTTATGGGAGGTTTGCTTCTGATAATAAGAGCGGGGACAATACAAGCGTGGGCTGGAACGATTACATGAAGATGTCTGACTTTGTGAACCCGGAAGCCGGGTTTTTTGTCGATGACACGGCTGTCTTTAGCACCTCATTTCATGTTATTAAAGAGTTCAGTAGCTTTACTAGGACTGGTGGGTTAATTGAGGGAAGGAATGGGACTAGAAATGGACAAATGGGAAAATTCACTTGGAGAATTGAAAATTTCACAAGGTTAGTGAATCTTCTGGAGAAAAGGAAGATAACCGATCTTTACATCAAAAGTAAGAGGTTTCAAATTGGTAACCGGGATTGTCGACTTATTGTTTACCCCCGAGGTATGTAAGTTCACTAAATTTTCTTATTGCTGCATTTGTAGTGCTCAATGTCTGAACAGATGGTCTTACTCTAAAATGGTTTCAGGGCAGTCCAAGGCACCATGCCTTCATCTTTCAGTATTTCTTGAAGTGACAGATTCACGAAGCTCTAGTAGTGATTGGAGTTGTTTTGTTAGCCACCAACTATCAGTTGTTAACCAAAGATCAGAGGAGATGTCAGTGACAAAGGAATCTCAGAACCGATACTCGAAAGCCGCAAAGGATTGGGGTTGGCGTGAATTCGTAACACTTACTAGTTTGTTTGATCAAGACTCTGGATTTCTTGTTCAAGACTCTGTTGTTTTCTCCGCGGAGGTTCTTATTTTGAAAGAAACATCTCTAACAAAAGACTACAGGGAGGCAGAATCAGCTAATTCAGTTTCACAAATTGATAACACCGTGAAAAGTTCATTTACTTGGAAAGTGGAGAATTTCTTGGCCTTCAAGGAAATCATGGAAACACGAAAGATTTTTAGCAAATTCTTTCAAGCTGGTGGATGTGAACTTCGGATCGGTGTATATGAGTCCTTTGACACTATATGCATATATTTAGAGAGTGATCAATCTGCGGGTACCGATGTGGACAATAATTTCTGGGTTAAGTACAAGATGGGTATTCTCAACCAAAAGAATCCGGCCAAAATTGTGTGGAAGGAGTCATCTATATGTACCAAGACATGGAATAATTCTGTTCTACAGTTTATGAAGGTGTCTGACATGTTGGAGGCTGATGCTGGGTTTCTTGTGCGTGACACTGTTGTTTTTGTGTGTGAAATATTGGATTGTTGTCCTTGGTTTGAGTTTTCAGACCTAATAATGGTTAGTTTATTCTGCTCCATTTTATTTCTTAAACAGTATAATTGTGTTATTAATTTAACCTTACTTTTATTTAGGTATTGGCTTCAGATGATGACCAAGCTGATGCCTCAGCCACCAATCCTGATGAAATTATGGATTCTGAGGAAAGGGAGGAAGACACATTCCAAGATTTTCTTGCGCGAGCTGGAATCACTCTCCCGCTTGGAGAGAATCCGTCACAACTACAAGTTACTCTCCAAGAGAAGTTTCTAATGGATGCGGGTGCAATTTCTGGTTTTCTTACTGACTTGCGTGTTTATCTTGATGATCCTACTAAAGCAAAGCGTTTACTTCTCCCGACTAAAATATCAAGCAAGTTAACAAAGAGTGATGAATCTTCAGCAAGCCTGCTGAATTTGCTGATGGGTGTTAAAGTTCTACAGCAAGCAATTATTGATTTACTTCTAGATATAATGGTTAAGTGTTGCCAACCTCCGAAGGAAGGCTCTCATTCCGACGGCTGCGTGGCTGCAACTTCATCGGTGTCAAAGGTTGGTCTCTCATACTACTGAAAGCTATCTAGCAGCTTTTCTTTTTTGCTCGATTGTTTTTCTAACAACATGAAAAAAAAATTGTTCTTCAGAAAAAGTGGCCAGAACAGTCTGAGGAGGTATTGGGACTGATTGTTAACTCACTAAAAACAATCGATGCGGTTGTTCCACAAGGTTGTTCTGAGTTTAGACGACGACCACACTCTGCTCAAAAGATTGGTCTTGTTTTAGACAGAGCACCCAAACATTTGCTACAAGATTTAGTTAGTCTGGTTCCTAAATTGGTTGAGCATTCAGAGCATTCACTGGCTGCTTATGCACTTATTCAACAGCTTCAAAAGCCCGAAGCTGAAATATCTTTACGTGAACCAGTAAGTGCAAGTTCATTTCATGAACCAGATCAAACTTCAACATCTCCTCCATCTGACTTTTATTACGTTGCACAGGTATACAATGCTCTTAGCCAGTTAGAATGTGATAGTGAAGTGTGGGAGCACATTCTACTTCAGTCATATGAGTTTCTAAGTGATTCAAATGAGGAATCTCTTGTTGCGACCATTCATTTCATACTTAAAATTGCTTCCCAGTGCCAACAATTACCCGAAGCCGTAAGTAATTTCGTGTCTCGTCTTTGTTGCGATTAGATAGTTTCCTAATCTTGGCTAATATTAACCTAAGAATTTTCCTTGTGCAGGTCAGCTCAGTCCGTGAGAGGCTTAAAAATCTAGGTGCTGATATTGCCGAAATGATACGTTAGGCTTAGGGACATCAACAGTGACTTCTTGGTGGGTCTTTGATTTAGGCCATTTTGTTTAAGTTTTGAATAAATTTTATGGGTTAGGCTTTAGATTTTAAGGCTTAGGGCTTGGTTTCTACTTTTTAGAGACTAGGGTTTAGGTTTTAAAGCTTAAAGTTTAGAATTGCCGTTTTAAAGATTTATTAATTTATCCAATTTTAGACTATATTTATAATTCTGAAACAAATCTATGGTAGTTTCATTTCATTATCTTTTTTTCTTTTTTTTTTGACACCTGAGATCTGTTTCATTTATAGTCTATAGAAATGGAATGGTATTTCGGATGAATTAATGGTATACAAAATTATAATTATGAAAAATTAAAAATTCCACAACTTGATTGTGTTTTGAAATGTGATAGTGAAAAATATAATATATAAACAATAACGGTGGTCGGTATCTGTTAAAATAAAATCGAATTAACCGAGCACCGAACCAAAATTAAACCGAAATGCCTACCCCTACAAGAGTCTACTAGATCATATGTGCGGGATTTCATATTTTATAAAGTGTGTTTTAATAAAGTTTAATTCAATATAGATTATTCTGTTGTTTTGTCATATATATAGATTTAGACCCCACATACGTATGGGATAATGTTTTCATATTTATTTGATATAATATTCATAATTTAGATTTATATCAGCTTGGTGTTTTGTTTGGTTTGAGTTCGGTGTAGACAGAATGAATGAGTAGATTTGTTTTTGTTATCAGACAACTACGTAGAAAAGACAATGAGAGAAAGTAGTGTCGTTCCGACCCGCACAAAATGTAATGTAAAAGTAATGTGTTTGGAAAAAGTTTTAATTAAGGTTTTTTTTTTGTTAGTCAATTATATAATAGCATAGATATCACAATAGTAACATATTCATTTAAATTTTTTTCTTTAAAAAAAAAAAACTGTGGTACACGCATTTATTTTCTGTTTTATTAGTTTTATTAGTGTTTTATTTATTTTTTAAATAGTTTGGTTTTGATGCATAACAAATAATTGTAATAGTGTCAGAAGTCAGGTGTGTAATAGTTATAACGTAAAATTTTGAAAGTATATTACATTTTAGAAAGTGTAAAATTGATTTGTGTAATGCAACATTATTGTTTATAAATTAAACCTTGGTAGTTCAGAAAACCTATGTAACAAAATTTTAATTAAGTGGCCCATAATTCAAGCCAACAGTTTTCTATTTGGGCCGAAATACATGTTAAAATGTAAACCCAATTTCGATAGCCTCTTCAACCCATTTACTCTATTCGTTTGTTAAGTAGATTTAAGGAAATATCTCATTGGCCAAGGATCACGGTGTCAATAACAACATTGCCATATTACAACATGCCGAATCAAGTCCGAGAAACGCGTATTCACCCGACTTAGAAGCCTAAGATCCGCGTGTTTATCCGCTCCACAAGCCCAAGATCCGCGAGTTTTCCATCTCAAATTATCCATTTACCCTTTTCCGAATTTTTTATTTCTGTCTTGGAAATCAAAAACCCCAATGGCATTCTTCGTAATATTTAACAAAAAAAAAGTTTATTATTATCCAATGATTCCCAATTAATAGTATAGATGCTTATAATTTTTTTATTATCTAAAGCTTGGTTTTCAAAGTTAGTAACTCGTATGATCTTGACACATGTCAAATCTATCTATTAGATGTTGATATGTGTCAGAAAAGATTTATTTATTTTTTCCTTAAGAAAAAAGAAAAACTTAAAAAACAAATTTACACATATACTAATTCATATGTCTATATCTAAAAAGATTTCACTTTTAGTTTTCTTAACCAAAATGGAAAACTAACAATTTGTTTTTGACATGCGTTATTCGTCAATTAAATTTGGCATGTATTAAGTTTCAAGAAAAAACCATTTAGCATGAATATTAATTAACTAATAAAAAATGACTATTGAAGTTCAAAATAACAATGTGAGTTATTCAAAAGTAATTTAATTGGATAAAAGTTGTATTTATCATTGTTGTATAATGTTTTCACTTATGAGTACATGCGTTAAAATTTTTAGAATAAAACATAAGTATAATTATACTAATACTAGAGATGAGTATAGAGGTTGCTTCAGGTTTGATAAAAGACTTTTCAACAAACCTAATGTTAAGGAAGCTATTTCTGGTGCTTGGAATTCTTCTCAGGCTGATGATAGGGTTTTGGTGTCTGATAAGTTGAAGAACTGCATGAAGGCTTTGAGTAGGTGGAAAAAGGTGAATAATCTCAATTCCCTTTTGAAGATTAAGCAGTGTCAAGTTGGTTTGGAAAAAGAACAATCTTCTTCCTTTCCTCGTTTTAACTTGGTAAGAGCTCTTAAGAGAGATCTTTGTCTTGCATATAAGGAAGAGGAGACTTTGTGGAGTAAAAAAAGCAGACAAAAGTGGATGAATGGTGGGGACAAGAATTCTAAGTTCTTTCATGCCTCAGTTAAAGCTGTTAGGGGAAGCAGTTTCTGGAGAAATTGAAAGATGTCAATGGGAATTTTCATAAAGCTGAAGCTTCTAAGGGAGCAATTGATGAAGCCTATTTTACAGATTTGTTTAAGTCTGTTGATCATGGCAACTTTCAAGATATTTTTGGTGATTTTCCTCCGACAGTTACTGTAGGGATGAATACTGTGCTGACTGCTGATGTCTAAAAAAAGGAAATTAAAGAAGCTGTTTTTTCTGTCAGAGGGTCTAGTGCTCCACGTGCATATGGGTTTACTGGATTTTTCTTTCAGAAGTACTGGAGCATTATAGGTGATCAGGTAACATCAGAAGTTCAGCAATTCTTTATGACTGGTTCTATGCCTAAGCAGTGGAACTACACTCAACTCTGTCTCTTGCCAAAAAAAGGAAAAGCTGAGCAAATGTCAGATTTGAGACCGATTAGCTTGTGTTATGTTCTTTACAAGGTTATCTCTAAAATCTTGGTGAAGAGGCTACAACCGTTTCTGAGTGAGTTAGTGGCTCCTAATCAATCGGCCTTTGTTTCTGAGAGGCTGATTTCGGATAACATCTTAATAGCTCATGAGGTGGTGCATGGTTTGAGGACTCATAATCAGATTTCTAAGGAGTACATAGCTATTAAATCTGATATGTCTAAGGCTTATGACAGGGTAGAATGGGGTTACCTAAAGGCTTTGCTGGAAGCTCTAGGTTTTCACCACAAATGGGTACATTGGATCATGGTAAATGTTTCGACTGTAACCTTTTCTATCTTAATTAATGACCAGGCTTTTGGTCTGATTACTCCTTCTAGAGGTTTGAGGCAAGGTGATCCCTTGTCACCTTTTTCGTTTGTGCTCTGTACTGAAGGACTGACTCACCTTATGAATAAAGCAGAGAGGCAAGGGCTCATTAGTGGTATTCATATCTCGCCTGAAGGGCCAGCAATACACCATCTCCTATTTACTGACGACAGTTTGTTTATGTGTAAGGCTGATTTAAAGGAAGTGGATACGATAAAGAAGATCTTCCAAGTTTATGGGAATGCTACTGGTCAAAGGATCAATTTTGAGAAGTCTTCTATCACCTTTGGGGCTAAAGTGGATGAACAGAGTAAAGACTGGATTCAAAGAGATCTTGGAATTTTTAATGAAGGAGGTGGAGGCTCATATTTGGGACTGCCTGAATGCTTCAGCGGGTCTAAAATCCAACTCCTGGACTACATGAAGGATAGACTCAAATCAAGGTTGTCTGGTTGGTTTTCTAGAACCTTATCTTTAGAGGGAAAGAAATTTTGCTTAAGGCCGTTGCTCTTGCCATGCCGTTATATGCTATGTCTTGTTTCAGGTTGACAAAGACTACTTGTACTAATCTCACGAGCGCTATGGCAGATTTCTGGTGGAGTGCTGTGGAACATATAAGGAAAGTCCATTAACTGGGAAAAGTTATGCCTTGCAAAAAACCAGGGATGTTTGGGTTTCAGGGATATTGAAACCTTTAACCAAGCCTTGTTGGCCAAACAGGCTTGGAGATTAATTCAAAATCCTTCTTCCATGTTTGCTAGATTTTTTGGAGGCAGATATTGGTGTTAGACCATCCTTTGTTTTGAGGGGCATACTTCATCGAAGAGAGTTGCTAGTAAAGGGTTTGAGAAAAGAAGTGGGCAATGGTAAGTCCCTTAGTGTTTGGATGGATTCTTGGGTATATGACAATGGCCCGAGGATTCCTTTGATGAAGCATTTTACGGTTAACTTGGATCTTAATGTGTCTAATCTTATTGATGTTGAAGCTAGAAATTAGAATAGGTCAGTCCTAGATGATCTGTTTTACCCAATAGATGTGGATATTATTACAAGACACAAGCTAGTGATTACTAAGGAGGACTTTTGGTGTTGGATCCATTCAAAATCTGGAGAGTACTCTGTTAAATCCGGGTATTGGTTAGCTTATCAGGTTAATAAACCGGATGTAATTAGACTGGCTGAGGTTCAACCATCGACTAATCTATTGAAGGAGAGAATTTGGTCCATTGATACGTCTCCAAAGATTAAAATGTTCATGTGGAGAGCTATAAGTGCAGCTTTGCCTGTGGCTGACCAGATAAAACACAGGGGAATGAATGGTGAATCTAAATGTCAGATTTGTGGGGAGGA